CTGGGCGACAGCTTGCAGCTCCCTGAGCATGGTCACTTGTCACAGCAACTTCTGCAGGTGCAGGAGGAGTACCAGAAACTGAAAGCCACCTTTGAATCTGCGAAGGACGCAAAGGTTTGACAGAGTGTCATAATGTCATCAAGGGCTTGGGCTGCACAGCACGGCATGGCTGCTTGGAAGGAGAATTTGTTGTCCGAGCGCATGGAGCCAGGTGCTGAGATTCGCTTCTTACTGGAATCCTCCAATGCTGCCTTGGATCGAGGTCTTACGGGCTTAAGCCGGGACCCAGCAAGGGACTTGGTTTGATTTTCAATGCAGAATACCAAAGCGAGGTCTGGCGACACATCCAAGCCAAAGTTGGAAGTGCTGTGCCGCACTCGGTGAGCGCTAGAGTGTGCTCGAAGTTGTGGCTTGGACCTGTAACAGGCAGCAAAAGCTCCAAGAGTCAAAAGAGGAGCTCCAGGTCCTCATCGAAGAGAAAGGCCACTTGGAGCAGGTGCGCCCAGCGGCTCCAAAGAGGTGGGGAACCAGCGAAGTTTCGGAGGCTATTCATGGGCCGCCGAAGAAGAAGCTCAAGGCGATGGTCTTCAGCTTTCCTTCCTTTGTTGGATCAGCCTGAATCTCTCAAGGACTCTAACAACTTCCAGCACTTTTCAGCTTTTGCCTGGTTTTATTTACTTGGAGCCCAGTCAACGATGGTCATCGCATCAAGCGCACATATGCGTTTGCAGAACCCTCGGGAAGAGAATCCATTCACAAAAGACTAGAAATCATCGCAAAAGAAGATGCACAGCCGGTACAATTAGTGAAGCTGGCACTTGCACACGACAGAAGCAAAACTATTCAGGCGAGGCTGAACTTCCAGCCATGCCTCCAAGTATCACATCAGGTAAACGCATTTTGAAGATTCCCGGCCTTCACGGCGCTGTTTCTCTTCAGTAAAGTACAAGGCAGGCACAAACCTGTCGCGAGATGAAGATGGCCCATGGCGTGCATAGTGGATGCCCTGTTGAACGAAATGTTTGTGTAGGGGCCTGGCTCCTAAGCGAAGCAGGAGCTAACAAGAACCGATAACAGGATCAGGAAAGGGTATGGGAGCTGCGGAGACCCTCGGACCCAGGTTGCAAGACCGGACCAGGCTTGCTTCTGAATCTTTGCAGGCGTTGCCATGCCTGACCTTGGTGGGTTGGTGGGTTGCCATGCCAGTGAATCAACTGACAGCTGTCTTCAAGAAGGATGGAAAGCGCCTCGGACCTTATGCATTTTGTTGCCTTTAAGTCTGCCAGTTGCATGCAGCAAGCTCCAGCTCCGTTCTTATTTAGCCTTCGCATTTCTCGGCAAGTTAGACGCAAGAACACAGTTTTTGGCTTTGCGCTGAAATCCAGCATGACAGCATGACGGAGATGAGCAGGCAGAAAGCTTGGAGGACAAGGTGGAACCGGTGACATCATCGCAGTTGCCCGGTTCAGTTTCGAATCGCCATCGAGGTTGTCATGTCAGCAGGCGACGAAGCTGACGTTCCGTCCGTGACAGAGTCGAGCAAGGCTGCACAATGGAGAAACCCTGTCAGACCAACCCGAGGGCCGCTGTCGGCACTGCCGAGTCCTACAGCGTTCTTTTTGGATCCGACGGGCAACCCGTCCTGGATGGGGCTGAGGCGCCCCTGCGCAGCTCTTTTACGTGCAGAGATCCTCGTCTCAGGACTTGCCAGAACTATGGGAGTTTAAGACCGTGAGCCAGTGGCGGCCTCGAACTTCGCCAGCATCTAAAGCTTCAAGCATCTTGGACAAAAGGTCGCGGCCATACTTGGCAGATTTGACAAAGGCAGTCGGCAAATTCATCGTTCTGCACGAACGGTGCTGCAGTGCTGGTCGGGCTGTTTGAAACGAAAGGCATTGCAACTGCTCGAAGAAAAGCGTGTCGTGACCTCAGTCTCCCAAAAGCATCGCTGCCGACAGAGCCTCCGAGTGTGAAAGCCGCAGAGGCCGGCCTTGCAGCAAAGCTGAAACTTGCCCACGGCGAGAGCCTGGAAGAAAGCGAGCTTGGTGATCGCGAAGAAGCCAGCCCAGTTCGACGAAAGAACGCGCAGGATTCCAGCTGCAATCGCATCGGGCCGACATGCTGTTTATGCTGCTTCAGGAACCTGCAGGAAACGGTGCGCCTCTTGCCTCAATCGTGAGAGAGATCCTAAGACAGTTTTGATTTAAGCACTGCTTATGTAGACCTTTACTGGGGCTTTGCTCGAAAGGCCACAGAGGCCGGATCCTCTGCTTTATTACTTGTGCATGCAGCCTGCTCCAAGTGTTATAATTGTTGCAGGTGGGCACCCTGCGTGGTTAAATTTCAGAGATGTGCAGTCCGCTGACGCGATCTCGACGTGGGAGTTCCGTGTACAGCACCGGCTCGACTCCGTAAGCCACCGTAAGCCACCGTAAGCCGCCGTGAGCCGCCGTAAGGCCTCTGGATCCCTGCATATCCCTGCAGGATGGGTTCAGGAATGTTCAACAGCATTAAAGCGCATCTTGCAATCCATAATGGACAGAGCGAATTTCCCACCGAGAGTTTGCCTGGTCGATGGAAACCAGGATACTGAAGCATGTGCATGTTTGCTTCAATCCTTCTTATCCGTCACATGTCATGGACTGGGGCATTTCCTGTCTCTCCGGCTCGATCCGTGTGTTTCGATATTTGCTGTGTGCAAGCTCAGGCGGAGAGGATCAATCGCCCGGCTGGCTGGCTTGTACTTACACTTGATCGAAATTTCGATGACAGCATGCCTGAGCTGGCAGGGAAAGGGAGGCGGCAAAGATGCAAGACGGGCAGAGCGGGCAGACACCAGGCCAGACTCGACCAGGCTTTCTGCCAGTTTGGCAAAGACTTAGCTTGTAAGGCCTGGAGGTGACAAGACGGTCAAGGCGCGACTTGGCAACAGTGCGCAGAAGCACTGCGCCGGGGTGCATTATCGGCTTGTGTTGCCATGCACACCGTATCCACTGTACTCCAATAATGAGCGACATTGATCCTAGCCCAGACTGTGGCAAGGGATCGGCGATTCCGCCGCGACCGACGCGAAAAGGCAGGCGAGCAATCATGGGTGTCCTGACCTCAACTGCAATATCTCCAATGCACATGGCGTCATGTAGAAACAGGATGAAAAAGGGTTGTTAGCAACATTTAGGCTGCACCCACTGCTAAGGCTTTGAAGCCGGCGTGCTCTCCTCAGTAGTGCATCGTGCAAACTACAGGTCAGATCCTCTTGACTTGAGCGCATGCCCGGAAGGGAAGATCAACCCGAAGTGACAGAAGAAGCCAAGGCAGTTTGGTGATTTCACGCGAAGACTTTCTCCCAGCAGTTTCTGTATTGCTGGCCTTGCTGCACCGGAGGGTTGAGGTACATGATTCTGAAGGAAAAACAACAGAGAGGCGAGAACTTCTGGCTGGGGATTGGTGTTGAAGGCACATGAGTGGAAAACAGATGTTGGATATTTAACAGCACAACTTGCAAATCCGGCATGAACATGCACGACCCTTCTCCTTGTGCCAAGACAAGCTGATGTGCTGCCGTATTTGCTAAGCTAAGATCCGACCCCAGAAACTGGATTTTTGGAGGTCCGCGGGATTCCACACGCGACATGTTTGTCAAGCGGCCGTGCTTGTTTGAGAGCGTTGCGCAAAACATGCGCCAAGTGGTCGAATAGGTGCCCATGCCAGCTGCATGACTGCAGGCTGGGGTGTTGCTGCTTCTTGGCATGTACAAGGAGCTGGAAGATGCGCCCGCATCTTAAGCTTTTCCTTCACAAGGCAATCATGCATATGTCTAGGTTTTAGCCTCAGACCGGGATGTGCTGATCTAGGCGTGCTCAAATCACGTACACTGACAGTCGCATCCACCGTGCGAAGCGGCAACCTGAGAAGCAGGGCAGCCCCAGTGTTCAAGATGCCGTGTGGATCTCACTGAGGATCCAGCATGACGGGAGGACCGTCACGACAGGTTTGGCACTCCAGCTGGGTTCTAACTCGCACACGTATGCTTTTCGCAAGCACAACCTGTCTCCCACATCCTCCGGCCTCTTTGCAACTGTGAATCGCTTCGGAGCAAGAGCGAGCCGAGAGATCAACAATGCAGCTGTTATTCTGTTTCGACTGCCTGTCACAGAAGCATGGGGTCAACTCTGGTCTGATACAAGGACGGCACAACAGCACCATGTCGGTTCGTTCCGTTTGGACATATTGTGCCACCATTGCATGCCTTGCGCACTTCTGCGCGGCAATCCAGAGCAAAGCACCTTCTTTCGACAGCATGCTGTAGCAATTTTGCGACGACCACTCTTCATTGCCTGCCTTTGCGAATAGCCGAAGGTTGTGTGAAAGCCAGACAGCCTGAGCCCTGAAACCGTGTAGGACATCACAGAACCTGGAGCTTCGGCGATGCATTTCGGCAGTGTTCGATCAGCTATAACAGTGGTGCTGCTCTTTCACAGCAGGGGCATGCAGCAGGAGTAGGAATTTAGGATAAGACTAGGAATCTGTGATATGACAACCCATGTCGTGGTGTGCACATGTATGTGCATCCTTGCTTGTAAATCGCACAGCCTCTTCGTCGATTCTCAAATCAGGTCCAAATCCTTTTCCAGAGCGGCAGTAGGAGTGTCAAAGATTTCCTTCCTGTTTAATGACGATGAACCACAAAACTAGTCGGTGCGAGAGTGTGGCTGAGTCGGAGCCCCGGCACCGCGTTCGCTCGGACCCTGCCAGAACCCTTCAAGACGCATTCCCTATAGACCTTTCCCTGCGGAAGGAAGGAAGGAGCGGAATCTGGGGCCCATGCTTTGCCCTCTGGGCAGCCTCACACTGTGAGATGTCTGTTTCTGCACGGGGCCGGACTTAAACAAAGCAAAGCATGCAACATCCTGTGCGATGCGGCGTCGAAATGTTAGGCTTGAAGCCTGAAAGTTGCAGGTGAGGAATCGGACGATGATAATGACGACGGCGCACCGGACATGAATCGGGAACTGCGGCGTGAGGCCGGGGAATAAATAAGTGCCGGGAGATCTGACACCAGCCCCTGCCAGGTGCAGCGAAAGCAGCGAGAATTGAATCAGTTGAGGAAGCGTTGGGCGCAGGGATCTCAACAGACGAAGGTTGTCAGGAAGGACATCATCCCAGCTGCTTTCGTTGTTTAGCGGCGTGATGTTGAGGGAAGACAAAGGAAAGGGCGAAAAAGCTGTCAAGCCCTCAGTTGCTTCGGTCCACGTGCCTTGAGCCCATGCTTGCAAGTCTGCCATGCGGCAGGTGGCACGTCATGCAGGGCTTGCTGGCAGTGCAGTAAGGCGGATTGGTTGCGACATCACGAGTGTAGCAGCACTGCAAGTTGCAACGGCACAGGACACAAACCACAGCCAATTAAGTCAGGTTTTGTCGAAGGTCGCACCTACCGGCCAGTGTGTTGCTTCAGCACGAGAAGAGTGCGCTGCCCGCCTGATCTGGATATCAGAGCGACTCGAAAGCGGTGGCGGCGCAAGCAAGAACACATCAGAACGAGGTCTTAATCAGTGAGGTGTGCCGAGCTGTCGAGAGTTGCTGAGATTTAAATGCAGCTGGAAGCACACCAGAAGACTTGCAAAGTCTGCCGTTTAGGTGTCACGCAAGTTTTTTTTCAGATGTAGTGAAATGTAGTGCTTCTCTGAGCTGTCTGCAGAGACAGCTCAGATAAGGCGCTTAAACGCCCGGCCCGGCACGTTTCTCGCGAAGCCGGGTGCCACCTTCGAGTACAACATAATAGGGCTGACCGCCGAGGACGCAAGGAAGCAATAGCCCAGAAGCGGGGGAGTCATTGTGTGGCACGCCACGCGCGTTCGCACATCGATAACAGGATCGACGCTGCGCGAACTGCGATGTTGACGAAGTTGCAGAGGTTTGTTGGACACGTCACACCTAATGACAAGCACCACAGGGGGTGCACAAGACGATGCTTCTTCACGATCCTTCAGACTAGCTTTAGACTCGTTCCAAGATGTGCAGTGTGTTGCGTGATATTGTGTTGACAGTGGAGGTATTTGCTGCAGGATCGGCTCCAGGCACAGTGTCTCTCATCGTTGCTGGAAATTGCAAAAGTGGCCGTGCCTCAGGCGGAAGCTCATGGAAATGAATCGGACGACTCCTCGACAGAGTCTTCAGAACCATCTGGAGCATCATCACAGGACTGAGCACAAGTGCGCTATCTTCAGTTACAATATGTCCGCTCAATGTCTGTAAGTATGAATCGTGATCAGTGCTCTCCGTGTCACTAGCGGTTCCATTACATATTTTTGGATGTGTCATTCGAGTCGGCAGGATACCTGAGCCTGGCTCTGGTGGTCCAGTGCTGCGAGTGAATTCAACAATGGATGCGACCGACGGCGCTTGCGCAACGCCGGGAGCTCGCACCCCTATGCAACTTTTCAGGATAAGTTTAGCATTTTTGGGGCAACAAAGTTGCACCATCTGTTTATCTGTAGGGCTTACCCGTGGAGTCAAAGGTCGAGCACAGACCGGGCCTCCTAGAAAGTAGTTCGCTCAACACATTCTGCCCAGTTGCCTGCAATGGGCATGTTCTTTATGGGCATGTTCTTCTTTTGCTGCTTGAAGCAGGAATCGATGATTTCCACAAGGCTTTAGCCGAACCAGAAGGGAGAAACGCATGCCTTAACCTCGATTATGCCCTGCGTGAACACCATAAAAAATGAATGCATCTACAGTGTTGCTGTAATCATATCGTATGCGACATCTGCTGGCCATGGTGGTTCGCGCACCCGGCTGAAGACTCTTCAGGCTGTTTCATGAACTGATTGGGGTCCCTCCCCCCAAAGTATGCTGAAGACTGCGGAAGCACAAGGCAGCCGCAATAGCAGCTTCTTCCATGGATTGGGGAGGCGGCCTGAGCTCTTGTGAGGGTGTACTTGGTGTAACCTCATCGACACCGTGCATTTTATACTTCGGCGGGGCATCCCTTTGGGAACATGGTCACGTGTTCTGGCGTTCCTGTCCTCCACCTTAGCCACATCCTGCGGTCATGAGTGGTCCTTCAAGCAGGTGCAGAAGGCCTTGAAACCCCAAGTGCCAAAGGAATGTTGGCCGGGGGTGTAAACGTACAGGAGATGTTGGTTGGGAAGCCTTGCGGGCCTCAGCCCTAGCCTGACTTGCTTAAAGCAGTGTCTACAATATACAACCAACATATGATGTACTATTAAGCATAGTGCATGATGCGCAGCAGAGCATAACGTGACATAACATGACGCAGTATAATCTAGTTTTTTCTGTGATAGTATGGTGTGCTATGATCTGAAACTTTTCATAAACATATACATATATACATAAATATGTATATATATATATGTATAGAGCACACGCTAAGAAAAGATGGGACGAGATAAGATAGGACAATATGACATGAGATAAAACGGCCATATCACAACGAGTTCTAAATTGAGTTAAATCAAAGCATGATTAGACATCGCGCAGCATAAAGATAATCAGAGACATGCGTGTGATTATTAAATATATAAGCAAATAAATAAATGTATATATATATATATATATATATGTATGTATATGTATGATATGTATGTATATGTATGTATATGTATGTATATGTACATACATA